TATTTGGTAAAAAAATTATATAAAAATTTTGCGAGTAGCTTATTTTTAGATAAAAGTAATTTTTACTAAATTTTAAAAAATTTTATTAAGTAAATCGATTATGTATATTAAGCAAAGTTTGTTCAGAAGAACAAAATACATATATTCTAAAAATTTTATATAAATCAAATAATTTTTATTAATTAACTTTTAATTTTTATGCTTAATAAATATAAATTTTAAAAAAATTTTAAAAAATTTATTAACCGTAATATGCAAAAACATATTAATAAAAAGTTATTCAATTTGGCTAAAACTTTCAAAATATATATATTTTATTCTTCTAAATAACTTTCACTTAATAAAGTAGATCAATTTACTTAGTAAAATTTTGACTTTACTATAGAGTAATTACTAATAATCATTAAATAGCTTATTTTCAGATATAAGATATTTTATGTTTTTTTTTAAAAACAAGGTAGCTTATTCTAGTAGTAGCTTATTTTGCAATATATTTATATTCAAACTTCAAACTGTTTACAAACTTTCAAACCAAACTTAGATCAAACTTAAAATTAAGTTTGGGTTCAAAAATTAAGTTTGGGTTCAGTTTAAGTTTAAAAAAAAAAATTTGGTTTGGTTTAAGTTCAAAAATTAATAAAATTTTAAGTTTGAGTCTGGTTTGAGTTTGAAGTTTGGTCAAACCAAAACCAAACCAAATCAAACCTAGGAGCCCTACTCAAAAAGGACTGAACAACTTAGAATCCTTGACAACCAACTTGTATACTGAGCCTGCTATGTGGACTTCTACCATGACTTGGACAGAAATGACTCTAGAAATATCCATTTCTATACCCAAGGTGAAGAACAAGAAACCCTAGTTACCTGTAAAATCTGCCAATATTCAGATATTTGATCCAGGATATATAACATAGAAAGCATAACTGAAGCCCTTTGGTTTTGCAATCTTGAACATATATATACATACAAGTAGTCAAGATATCCTCTATAATTCTAACTATAACCTTTGGACCCAGACTCAATACTACACCACTTTTTTTATACTAGTTAAATAGATTATAATCATTAGTAGATAAAACTACTTTCAGCTTTGTTAAATAATTACCGAATATATAATAAATAACTTTTTCAACAACAATTCAGCTAGCTGAATATATACTGATATTTGACAATATTCTGCAAGTATTTAGCAAAGACGAACAATAGCATTCAGCAATATATAAATTATTAGGGATTCAGCAACTACTTTATTAAAGCCGAATACTTTATAAAATAGAATCAAAAGTTAGCCAAATATAATTTGAAATATAAATAATTTTAACTAAAATACTAAAAATTATTTTAAAACTAGCCGAATGTTTATTGAAATTTAGTTAAAATTTTAATTCAGATTAGCTGAATGCTCATTAAAACATAAATGATACTAATAAAATTTTGTAATAAATATTCTTTGAAATGCAAATAAATATAGTATTTATTTTATATTAATTGAATCGCAAATTATTCTAAGCTAAATGCAAATAAATTTTTTATATTGAATTAGCTAAATGTGCTATAAAATTTCTATATTCAAATTGGCAAAAATATTCTAATATAATATTAATTTGTACTCATTTTTGCTTTTTTTAATTATTTTTTCAAATAAATTTAGAATATGTTTTGTTTTTCCTTTGCTTCTTACTTCATTAGATCCAATTCTTCATCTTGGTTCTGTTAAATCTTTTTGAGTACCACTTGATATACTAATTGTTTTTGTCTTTTGAAGCTTCTTTTTTGTTTTAATGTGATAACTTGTTTTGATATTAGGTTGTTTACTCAAATAGTCTATATCATCTCTATTGGAATCAGATTTATCGCTAGTATCACTGTCTAATTGTAGAATTTCTATTTCTAACCAATTTTGAGCCTCTCACTGCTGTTGATGTTTTTTGTGGTTCTTATCTTCTATATCTTCTGGAAGTATAATCTACTGTAAAGGTGCATATATTGGCTTGATAACTTTATAGACATTTGATGATTATTCTTGAATAACAAGGGTTCCAAGTTGAAAGACTTTACTTTTTTCAAGAAATCCTTTTTTAAGAATTTCTTGCGCTAGTTTACTAATCATTTATTCTTTGGTTCTTGGTAGTAGTTCATAGTCAAAACAAAAAGCAAAATAACCTTTACCAATTTTCTCATATCTTTTTCAATCTTGTGGCTTTGATATTGCAAGATGACCAAGAGTTGAATCAAGTATTCTCTGGAATAGATAAGTTATCTAGGTATAAAATAATTAATAGTTCATAAATTAATTAATATACCTTCTATTTTATATAAACAATTACAAGAGCGAATTGAAACAATGTGATCTAAAAATAATAATTAATGTATTCAACTGTTTAATATATATATACATAAACTATAATTCATACATCTGGTAATTGTTTAATATGCATGTATAACAGTTAAAATAAAAATTATTAAAACATATGAACTTACTTTAGAGCTTCGATACCATGGCAAAGCACATAATAAAACAGCGCCGATATTAGGTTTTTTGCTTGAAAAAATTGGTGCTTCACCTGAATCCGGATACACTATTGTGTTACCTGATTTATCAATTTGTATATTACCATAACTGTCAATTACTTCTCTATCTTCTGTGAATTCAAACCCTTTATTCTCATAATGATATCTTTCTTTAATAGCAGAACTCCATTCCTTATATGAATGTTCATATATAGCAATTTGTCATTCCCAATATTCATTTGCTTCAATATCAGTACAGCTTTTATCACCTGAATGAATATCCTTATTACTTATAAGGAAATAAATATCATCTGGGTCGAAGTTTTTAATAGCAGCGTCAAAAGCGAAAATAAGATAGTTAGCTGCTACTTTTTGACGATTAGCAAATTTCTAAAAAATTGTTAAAATAAAATTAGTAAAAATTATTATATAGGTTTATAAAAAAATTATTGATTTATATACTAGCACGTCTCGTATTTCTATTTACTTGGTATTTATTATACTTATCAGTTTTTGAATCATTCTTTATTTTTTTGTACCCAACTTTATGTTTTTTATGGCTTTGAAGAAGATCTAGTATATCTTTACTTGTATATGGAAATTGATCAATAATAGCATCTGAAATTTTTGGTACCCATATTTTTTTTATATGATCACATTGCTTTTGCCACTCAATGTCTAGATTGACAATAAATTCTACATCATCTACTTCAATGAGTCATTCAACAGTTTTATAAATGAGAGCCTAATAAAAAATATTTAGCAATATAGCACTTATAATATTAAAGTAGTAACAAAAATTATATAATACTTATATACCTGAAAAGCTAATTTATGTTTTTTATTTACTGGAATGTATTTGGGTGTTATTTCAACAATTCTGCTTTCCAAATTCATATTATTTTTTTAAAATCTTTTGTCTGCCCGGGTAATAATCCCAGTATACCAAAAAAGTTTATCAAAGCATTCTGCATTGATGACTTCTCTATCACTATAAAAACATAATAATAAATAAATCAATGAAGATATTATAATAAAATAACTCAAAATTGATAAATACTAATAACATCATAATTCAATAAATTTTTTGGACTCTTATCACTATCATAGCCATTAATATCTTTACACATATTGAATACAGTGCTATCTTTATCTGATTCAGTTACACTGTCAGGAGAGTCAGAAGAACTAGATAAATTATTATTATCTGTAATATACATCTCTATATAAGACCGTTTCTTCCCTTTATTGTTAGTCATTTCTCTGCAGTTTTCAAGAAGTATTAATGTTTAATATGAAAAAAAAACTGATAACATATGAATCTATATATGGTTTAGTTTAGTTGTGCTTGTCTTTTTATTTAAATTTAGAAAATGAACTTATTTAGCTAATTATAAAAAATTTTTATTACCAGTATTCATACAATACAGATAAAACGTGACTTTAGATATGTATCTTGTTTCAATATTTTCTGTCTCGATACCAACAGTACTTTCAATTTATTCACAACACATTCGATCATAGCATATACTATGGTGAAAAATATGCTTATTTTTGTATTTATTTTGAGAAAAAGAGAAAAATTTATGATCCTCTTTATTTCTTTTAAACTATATTTACTCTATTCGATAATATTTTACTATCATTATCAATATGATTACTAATACTAAAAATGGTAATAAGATTATGCATCTATTAAAATAAGCTTTGCTTGCATAGGATCTAACTATTTATATCAATTATATATACATATATACATATATATCAGTATTAGATATCAGTATCAATATATCAATTACCTGATCTGATTATATTATACAAGTTCTAGTTAAGTGAAAATAAGACATTTAAAAATAAAACAAAAGGACATCTAAGAAAATAATTAATTCTGCTTTCTGGCCTGAATTAAAATAGCAAGAATGAAATTTTAAATATAAAAAGTAAATATTTTTTATAATTTCAAACTCTAACCAATCCAACTTTAATAGATCACTTCAAATCTTAATATACTTAAAAGAAATCAGCTCATTATTTGAACAAATAATCAAAGATGTATAAAATTGCCAATTCAACTTTAATGCATCACTTTACATCTCAATATACTTATAATAAATTAGCTAATTATTTGGTCGAATAATCAAAGATGCATAAATTATGCTGAAATATATAAAATATATAATAAATGAGTTATAATTTAGAAGTTAAAAATTATAATTAATGTTAGTTAAAAATTGGCTATATATACTTGTGTTAAAAACTATAAAATTTTACAAGTATTTAAATAATAATGAATACTTTAAGCCTTTATAATAAATCCAGAGATCAGAATCAAATTTTATTTCCTTGCAAAAAATTATATCGTAAAATCCTCTGCCATTGTAAAAAGCACAAAGACAGTCTGGCAGATATACGAACCTGGAAAAAGTATAATCCTAAACAGCCCATTCTATCTATCCACTCAAAACAAAATATAAAGCATATTGTTCAAGATGATACCAAAAAGAATTTAGATATCAAAAATGATATGTTTTGTTCAGATGAAAGAAGTGAAGCTTTTTTTTTAGATGCAGAAAATAGATTTTATTTCAACTCTGATTCTAATATAGATATGATAGATATTATTAACAATATCTATAATATGAATATAGTGAATATCATTAACAATTCTTTTAATTTACCTACTACTAATAGTTGTTCTATATTTAAAAATATTACTAAAGACCTGCAGGTTGATAGCGCAAGTGGTTAGCACTCCCAGGTCACAGTTGCAAGGTTGCGGATTAGAATCCAACTAGAGGATAAAGGCTCTGTTAGGACCATGACTAAAAGGATCTTTGAGTATAATTTCTATGTAAGAAAGGAACAGGATTCATACGTACATAATGCAGTTTGTTGGCATAACCACAGAGTCGAGAATGATCATATAAGGCAAATCCATCAATAAATAATGCAAAAATTGAGTAAAATCTAGTTTAAAAATAAAAAAAGGCAAGTCATACTAATCTAATAAAAGAAAAGGGACCATGACCATAGGATTTGATACTCAGTGCGATCCCTGCTCATACCCAAAATAAAAAGATGACTGAAACCCAAAGATGGACCAAAAATGGCAAGAAAAGTACCGAAAAGTATGAAACAGATCACCAGAAGAAGGACCAGACAGAGGCTTAAACTGAAAACATCACCAGTAGCAAGGAGACAAATAAAGAGGTACCCAGGAGACCGAATATGGATTAAGAAAATACAGATAGTCTAAAATAGGAAAAAAAAATAAAAATAAAAATAAAAATAGACCAACAGACTCCTGAGGTATCTAGGAATACCTGGCCAAGGGGATATAAAGTATGCTTAGATGTATAATAAATAAATAAAAAAAAAATAAAAAAAATATTACTAATAATTTGTCAGATTTAACCTATATAATTAAAATAGATAAAAATAGTGCAAGCAATCTAAATACAATACATAGTGAAGATGATAGCAAAAGTAACTTGATTGGTACATCAGAAGAGCCATTAAGTGATTCTGATAATAAGTCTAGTAATATTGAACAAAATGATAGTATAGAAGCTCATCAAACAATAAATTATGAGACAGATTGAATAATTCTTTGAACATTAAAATACTAAATATGATTCAAATCTTCTAACATTGCTAATAAAATTCTTATAAAATTTTTAAGAAATTTACTTATAAATATTGACCAAGAATGTTTTAGTAAATTATCAACATTATTGCCTATAGCAAGACAACTATTAGGTCTAACAATAATAATAAAACATTATTCAGTTTGTCCTAGATATCACAAGCTCTATTTGATAACAAAAGTTGAAAATTATAAAATTGATAATATTCCAAGAATTATGCTTTGCAACTATATAGAATTTCCAAATCACTGTTTTGCAAAATATCAAGTACCATACAATTTTGAATTGTCAAAACAAGTGAGGGTCTACTAGCACATCTATTTTTTGTGCTAATTTGATTTTTCTACAGCCAAGCATATTGCAACAACTTTCGATTATGTATTAACAGCCAAAATTTGAAGCAAAGTTGCATTATTGGACTAAACGAAATATTAAAAAAGGGATCCAAAGTGATATATATGATGGTGATATATAGAAAACTTTAAAGATGATAAAATCAGAGGATATTTGTTTTTTATATCAAATACTGCTAATCCAAATCTTGGGCTATATTTAAATATAGATTGGTTTTAGCCTTTTATAGATTCTCAATATAGCGTTAGTGCCATTTATGCTGCAATTCTTAATCTTCCACAAGAGGACCAATATAAACCAGAAAATATTCTATATCTTGATCTTATGCCAGAACTGAAAGCAAAAAAAATTTAATTAATTATTTTTTAAATCCAATTGTAACTGAACTTGAAAATATATAGAATGAGTTAAAAATTCAATAGACCTTCGAACGAGTTAATGGAACTAATATTAGGGCTACTGTAATTCTTTGTTCGTATAATTTTCCTGCCAGACGTAAATTATATGGTCATGTTAGTATTAGAAGCAAATATCATCATTGCCAAAAGTGAACTGATCCTAAGAGTTATTATGGTAGTTTTGATGATATTGATCAATGGTTCATTGATACTGATCCTGCAGAACATCGTCTTTGTATATCTGAATAGTTATCTTGTAAAAATGAAAGCCAAAAAAATACATATGTAAAAAAATATGGTGTTAGGTGGTAAGAGATGCTTTATTTATGTTATTTTAATCCAATTCAATTTCTTGCAATTGATCCCATGCACTGTTTGTTTCTTGGGATTTCTCATTTTATTGTTAAAGATATTTGGATTGCTAAGGGCAAATTAACAAACAAACAACTTGAAATAATACAATTACAGGTTGATGCAATAAAACCACCCTCTGATGTTGGTCGAATGCCAAGAAAGATTTATAATGGAAGTGATAGATTTTCTAATTTCACTGCAGATTAGTGAAAAACCTTCATACTTGTGTATACAATAGCCACTATGTGGAATTTGCTTGATAGTAATAATAGACAAATTCTTACTTTACTTGTTAAAGCATGTAGCATTTTTATTTGCAGATTATTAAAAATAAGGAAATTGATAAAGCTCATAAGTATCTTCTTGCTATGGTTAAAATAATTGAAACAGTTTATGGTAGTTAATCAATTACTTCAAATTGTCATGCAAGTTTGTATCCTGCTCAGTGCTGTAAGAATTATGGTTTATTTTATTCTTTTTAGACCTTTTCATTTGAACAATTAAATAGATTTTTGGGTAAGTCAATTTAATTATTAAAGGGAATGCCTATTTTTACTATATTTTCACATAATTTTCAGCTAATAACTATTGTAGAAGTAGGTATTTTCTTAATGAATTAATATTACAATTATTACTAATATAATATTTATTACAATACAGGCTCTTTTTCCAATAGTTAACATCAAATAAAGCTAGAAATAATGCATACTATGATACAAATCTTATCATAGAAGAGCACTTAAGTCAATTGCAAAATTTCTTTCAGTTATTAGCAGCTTTTGATTTAATTAAGCCTCAAAAAGTTTTAGGAAATTTGCTTTATACTGAAGAAAAAGAACAAATCAATTTAGAAAGATTTATACAAATGTCAATAAATATAAAAATGGCAGCTAAAGGAACTGAACCATTTCTAGGAATACTACTTTTACCTATGAAAAAACAAGTTAGATTGTCTGAAAAAATTCTGCAACAACTAGCAGAATGGTATAGTAATATATATAGAAAAACTTATCAGTCATCTCTTACACCCGGTTCAAGAGACAGTATAGTAATTACTCCATATATTAATCAATATACTTATTTACAAATTGGTACAGAAATTTTCAGGTCGGCAATGTCATAGAAATATTTAAATAATACAAATATCCGTGCAAATACCTAGTATCCATAATTCTGTTTACATATATCTGGGTCATGTTAGCTTTTATTTTGAATATGAACTATCTATTAATGGTTGTTCAAAAGTTCATCATCTTGCATATATTAATTAGTTCGAACCAGTTCAAGAAACACAAACAAGGTTTTGGCTATCTTCTAATCAAAAAGAAAAATATTGCAATATTGAACTTTGGAAAGAGCACTTTTATAAAGATGGACAAGACTCAATTCTTCTGGTTTATAATATTCATAGTAAATGTATATTAGCAAAATTTGCTATTTCAAATCATAAAAATGCTTTAATATATCTTGCAGTAATTCTACTGAACCGTAGATTTTATTTGTAACAGAACTTGTTACTAACAATAAAACCAAATCAATATATATAATGGTGCTCTTGTATTAAATTTGATTTTTAAATAAAATTCAATATATCTTAATGAACTTTCTGTGTCAAAGTAATATTAAATGCTGATTATTGTTATTATGAAAGATTATTGTTAAGAAATCAATTATTTTAAAATAAAAAACGACAATAAAATAAAGTTGCACATTAGTTTTCTTGTATATATAAAAATTCAAATATTATATAATGCTGATAATTAAGCCAAATATTACAAGTTTTATATACTGTTAATAAATATAAGTAGTAGCAAACTTTAATAATTATAAAAATAAATTGTGCATATAAAGTTTTATATGCTCCAGTTACAGTAATAATAAAACTAAATAAAAGTTTTAGAACTTAAATTGAGATTCAGATATATTTTTCAAGTCAGTTCAAATTTCGAAATATAATAAGATATTGAAAATAATAAATAAATTTGGTAGAGAATCATTTGGCTAAAATTTTGCAGAATTTTGTTTAAATAACTTCTTTTTTCAGATTACATTCAGTTTATTTTAATAATAGTTGAATGTTTGCCGAATTTTAAATAAATAGTAGTATTATATTTAGATAATATTCAGCAATTATTCAGTAGATACTGAATAGCATATGATATTAAAAATAAGCTAAATATGCTATAACCTAGCAGAATATAATCTGATTGATGTAAAATTTAATTAGCATTCAGCATATTTGAATGTAGCAAAAATTTTTCATTTTGACTAGTACCAGAAGTGCTAGATTCCAATACAAAATGAATCAAATACGCATCTTCTGACTTGCAAAAATCTTGTTGCAAAAAAGCAACCAAGATATTGCTAAAGCTTTAGAATCTCTTATGATTGACTAAACCAACCAGTCATGGAATAATAACAAAATAAGCTTTATCCTTCGAGCTGAACAAGACCTACTAAATAAAGATGAAGCATTTCAACTACAACAAACCCTTAACTGATCTTTTAATACAAGCCACCTAGACTTTTGTAAAGAGTTAGCCCTTGCTAACCTCTGATGAAGTTTCACTGACCCTGTGGACTTTTGCAAAGAATGCCTACATATCAAGCATCAAGATAAACTTGATTAAAATAATAGATATTGTATTAACTATGCTACTGCACCTCCTCCAATATTTAACTAAGAAACTACTCCAAAAGAACCAGACATATCTGTTTCAAATTTAAAATCGGATACTATATCTGATAAGGCTGACAACCTACTATCAGAAAATAGACCCAACACTCCTGTAGAAGAAACAAATTCCAATCCTCCAATTACTTTTCCAAAACCAGATATTTCTTTATTTGTGATACCATATTTGTCTGAAAATAAACTACTACCAAAAATAAGCTACCTTCCTTTTTTAGAAGAAAAACATAAAAACATCTTATACTCGAAAATAAGCTACTTAATGATCGTCAGTAGTTACTCTATAGTAAAGTCAAATTTTACTAAGTAAATCAACAAAGCTTATTAAGTGAAAGTTGTTCAGGAGATCAAAATACATATATTATAAAAGTTATATCCAAATTGGATAACCTTTTATTAATATGTTTTTGAATGTTACGTTCGATGAATTTTTTAAAATTTCTTTAAAGTTTCTTTAAAATTCATATTCGTTAAAAGTAAAAATCAAAAGTCAATTAATAAAAAGTTATTTGACTTACATGAAACATTCAGAATATATGTAATTTTATCTTTTGAACAACTATCACTTAATACACATAATCGATTTACTTAGTAAAATTTTTCGCAATTGGCAAAAATGCTTTTATCCAAAAATAAGCAACCTGCAAAATTTTTGTGTAACTTTTTAGTTAAAAATGGTAGCTTATTTTCAGACATATACAGTACTACAGCTCTAACAACAAGTAGTCTATCAGAGTCAGCTTATCAAATAACTGCAACAAAAGGTTAAAGCTCTTGAAACCTATAACTAACAACTTATACAGATGTGAAGAGAAGACAATTAGTATGCTCACCAGCATGCTGCTCAATATGCTGCCCTTATAGAGTCATAAAATTTTTTAATAATCCCAGACAAGATGAAAAACTACATAAGGACCTAGACATTCATGACTCTACTCTTACCCCTATATTTGTATATACTATTAATACTTTTATCTCTTACAAAGAGTATACGACTCTCAAAAAAACATTATTAAATATTAGACCCTTCTCAGAAGATAAAGGACAAAGATTTAGACAACTTCTAGAAGAATTTGCAGATCTATTCATATCAGATATTAATAAACTAGGATGAACTAATCTAGTTATATATAGAATTTATACCAAAGACGTATCTTCTATAAATTCTCAATCTTATTTGATACCTCCAAGTGAACAAACATTTGTTAAAAAAGAAATCAAACAAATATTAGACAATAAGCTAATACAACCATCGAATAGCCTATGAACTTCCTCTATTATATTAGTATAGAAGAAAATAGTATATTATGCTTCTGTGTAGACTACAGAAAGCTAAATGCTATAACAAAGAAAGATGCTTACCCATTACCTTGAATTGACAAATAGATCATATTGGTTCTCTATACTAGATTTCACTAGTAGATATTGGCAAGTAACTATGCATCTAGAGACTAAGAAAAGACTGTATTTGTTACTCACTATAGAACATATGAGTTCAACATCATGCCCTTTGAACTTTGTAATGTCTCTGCAACCTTCCAATACCTAATGGACAGAGTTTATGACAAAATAGCATAGAGATTTGTAGTAGTATATTTAGATAATACTATTATATTCTTCAAGATCTTTAATAACCATTTAATCCATCTACGAGAAGTTTTTACTAGAATCAGACAAACTGAACTCTGATTGAACATTGAGAAATATAATTTTTGAATGCAAAGATTACTATTTCTAGGACACATAAATTTGCCTAAAGGAATTGCCCCAGACCCTCAAAAAATCGAAGCTGTTCAACAAATTTTACCTTCTAAGAATGTAATCTAGTTATGATCCTTCCTAGGACTAGTAGGATACTATTGCCAATTTATTTGCAACTCTTAGCTATCACAAAACTTTTGAATCAACTTCTTCAAAAAGATGAACTTTATAAGTAGACTGAAGCTCAACAAGACTTTTTTATCGAGCTAAAGCAATAACTTATTAGTGCTTCTATCCTTAACTATTTAGACTTCAAGAAAGTATTTATCTTAGCAACCTAATGCTTCATATTATAGATTTGGTATTACGTTTAGTCAACTCAATATCCATAATAAGGAACATCTAGTAGCTTATGCTAATAAAAGTCTAAAGAAAGAAGAAATAAACTATAGTGCTATTGAATTAGAATATGTCATAGTATGAGTTATTGAACATTTTTATAAATACCTTGAAGCTACCAAATTTATTTTAGTTACTGACCATTAAGCTCTCAAATAGTTACGTATTGCTAAATCTAAAGGAAGATTAGGTAGCTAAATACTCAAATTACAGCCCTATAACTTTGAGATTATCTATAAACCAAAATGAATATATTCCAATATCAATGTTCT